AGATAGATAGATAGATAGATAGATAGATAGATAGATAGATAGATAGAGATATGTATGTATGTATGTATGTATGTATGTATGTATGTATGTATGTATGTGTGTGTGTATTCCAGCTCTTTATTCCTACACTCAAAATGGCTTGCAGGTATTAAAATGGAGAGAATAGAGCATCATAAAATTGGTGCAATTAAACCAAAACTAGAATTAAAAATCAATCAATAAATTAACCATTCAAAGCTTGGCAATATACTTTTCCAGCTTCCTAAAATGTAGCAGCGTGGGAATTTAATGCACCTCTTTTAAGCATGTTTACGGAGATTCTCAATCATCCAGGTCATAGTCGTCCCAAATGTCTTTTTCCAAAAAGCAACTGTACTTCCTTGTGTTTTCTTTGAAAATGCTTCACTTCTCATCCAAGAAGCTTCTTCAGTTCAATTCTGGGATGTAGCTTCCAGTTCCTTCTCTGGACCTACTTGCTTGACTGAGTAGCTCCTCTTGAACCTGCCCGTATTTCCCTCAACCTTCTCCATCTAAAAACTCCTCCTCTGTTTGATGATGATTGATTTAGGACTGTCATTTTCAGGCCAGACCTTCATGCGCCTAACTTAGTTTTTAAGGAACTGTGTAGCTGGTGGTATCATTTGTTTTGGACACAGGTAGACCTGAAGTTCGAACCCTCCAGGCTCAGGCGAACATGGTTTATCAGTGTATCAGCCAATTTGGAGAACACAGGGAGACAAATTGCAGAAGAACAATTCACACAGGCATTTTTCCCCTGTGACTGTTAAATCTTGAGCAGAGCTCTCCAAACTTGGCAACTTTAAGACTTGTGGACTTTAACTCCCAGAATTCTCCAGCCAGGGAGTTGAAGTCCAGAAGCCTTAAAGTTTGGAGACCTCTGATCTTGAGCATTCTCACAAGCTTGTTTTTGCATGGTTAAAGTCTCCTAAAATCATTTGGGGGTGGTGGTGGTGTTTTGTTTTGTTTTTTTGAACCAAATAACATTCTTGGTCCAGGATTTTGCCTGGGGAAACTTGAGCCAGGTTGACGTTCTTCCCCTCCTCCTCCTCCTCTCCCATTTGAAAACTGCAGAGAGTTACAACTCAAAGTTAATCTTTAGCAAAACAACAGCAGTTTAGGGTTGGTTCCCTGGGCAAGTAATGTCTGCTTTTCCTGCCAGTGAAATTTGAGAATGAAAGGGGGTCGTTGGGTGGGAGCGGGAGAGAGAAAGTAGGCCTCTATTTTTGAAATCCAGCGCTGTCAGTCTGCTCTCTCTCTCAAGCCAAATGATGGTATCGGTTTGACTTCAGAGTTAATTGGACTGGATGGCCTCAAGGAACAAGGTCAGGAGGGCGACGTCTTGCGATAGGTTTGATGGGAAGCTCCGAGCCAGGTTCAGGGTTTTTCCCACAAACCAAGAATGCTTGGCCGAGGTTCCACGAAAAGGACTACAGACTTCAGATAGTAGCAGAGGGAGAAAACATCTAATGCTCCGGTTGCTTAGTTATTTATCTTCGGTTGCTATTTCTGTGCTGTTAACAGATTACAGATAATCAGAGTTGGAAGGGACCTTGTAGGTCATCTAGTCCAACCCCCGCCCAAGCGGGAGACCCACCACCATTTCTGACAGATGGCAATCCAGTCTCTTCTTGAAGGTCTCAAGTGATGGCGCTCCCACAACTTCCAAGGGCAACTTCTGTTCCATGGGTGGATTGTTCTGTCAGAAAGTTTCCCCTTATTTCCAAGTTGAATCTCTCCTTGTTCCGTTTCCATCCATTATTCCTTGTCTGGCCTACAGGCGCTTTAGAAAATAGCTTGACTGCTATCCTGTTCCTTTAAAGATGACATCCCTTAAAACAACTTCGGGGCTGTTAGAAAGTATTTTCATGTGCACCACCACACACCACACACACTCCAAAAAAAGGCACAGAAGAGGGACTCTGATCTTTGCGCTGTTCAGGTTTGAAGGGTTCCAGATAAAGGTGAAATGGAAAGGTCAAAGCATTTTTCTCTGATTCTGGTTTTAAACAAGAATTAAAACAGTTTGACCTTGTTTTTTATTCATCAAAGAATTAACACAGTAGGAATCTCATCCTTTGATGGATGTTCTTTGGTAATTCAGACCCCAGCCAGAAACCTAGAAATTATCCAAATATCATTGTGAGATATAACAGCCAGTAAGGTGTTATTTGTATGTAAAAAACTTTGCTTTTTTGCAAAAATGGGTGTGATCTGTTCTTCCACCTAAATGCATCAAGGGCGATGCATAATCCATCCATTTCAGCCTTTTCTTTTTATCTTCAAATCTGCCATCCCTGTGGTGTATCCATGTCTGCAAAAATTGCTCTTTTCCTTCCAATTAGGACATTATTTGGTTCTAGAACAGAGGTCTCTAAACTTGACAGCTTTAAGACTTGTGGACTTCAACTCCCAGAATTCCTCCTCCAGTCATGTTAGCTCAGGGATTCTGGGAGTTGAAGTACACAAACCTTGAACTTGCCAAGTTTTAAGACCCTTGCTCTATTCTTTCTATCTATTTACCTACCTACCTACTCTATCCTATCTCTCTCTTTCTCTCTATCTATTCTACCTCTCTTTATCTATCTTTTCTATCATCTATCTATCTATCTATCTATCTATCTATCTATCTATCTATCTATCTATCTATCTATCTATCTATCTATCCTCTCTATCCTCTCTATTCTTCCTCTCTTTATCTATCTTTTCTATATATCCTCTCTCTCTCTCTCTCTCTTCTATCTGTCTTTATCTATTCTACCTCTCTTTCTCTATCTATTCCAGGGCTCTTCAAACTTGACATCTTTAAGACTTGTGGACTTCAACTCCCAGAATTCCTCCTCCAATCACGTTAGCTCAGGAATTCTGGGAGTTGAAGTCCACAAGTCTTTTTCATGGTCGTGGTCATGATGTGCACTGAAGATGGTGTTTGATTTCGTTGTACGAGATGCAATGACAATAAAGTAAACTAAATGCCGTTCAAACTCAAAATACATATAAATTATAAATAGAAAAAACAACAACACAAACCACACTGAAGCAATTAAGGAGACAAGACAGGATAAGGGTTTGAAGACATCCACATATATTGAAATATACATACTGGGAAGGACGCCAGAACTCAGATAAGAACTGTAAGACTAGAATTATTTCACGTTTTCCTTCCAGCTTTGGGCCATACGCAGTTTGTCCTTTTAAACAGTCCTCACAGCTGCAGCCCATGAAGGGGATCAGGGCCCCTTCCTCCCTGTAGACCACGCCACTCATATTTCTCCCTTATCTGCTCTTCCCTGGGTGCCCTAGGATGAAGAGGGGATGGGCCTGGGTCTTCCTCTGAATGCCCAGCTGGCCTATGCCCTTTCCCAGTTTCCTCCACAACCTCCGGAGCCACACTCCCATTCCCTGTTGGCTGTTCCTCCTCCTCTCCCTCAGAGTTAGACTCCAACAGGGGCATGACAGTTTACTAGACGTTTACTAGACGTTACAGTGGGTGAGAAGCCATGCTAGATTTTCGCCAGTTAACTTTCTTTTCCCTTGGTCCCTTCCCATTGTTTGTCTCTCATTACACATTCAAGTTTAAAAGAGATGTTTTGGGAACAGGTTGGCTTTCTTCTTGCAAGGGAATGACCTTGAAGTCTTCATTCACTTTCCCCCAGGCCCTCGCCCAGCCCTCCAGCTCCTCCCCTCCCCCCCCGGGTTCACGGCAGGCTGGCAGCGAGGTGGCAGTTCCGGCCGCCAGGCCTCGAGCAGCCATGTTGGTTCAGAGCTTCTCTTCCTTTGGGCTGACCTAACCTGTCCCTTCCTCTCTTCCCAGATGCCAGCATGTCGCCCGATGCCACGAAGCACAGCCACTGGTGCAACGTGGCCTACTGGGAGCACCGGACCCGTGTGGGTCGCCTCTACACAGTGTACGAACAATCCGTCAGTATATTTTATGACCTACCTCAAGGAAACGGCTTCTGCCTCGGACAGCTCATCCTGGAGAACAGGAACGAGACGGTGCAGAGGACTAGGAACAAGATCGGCTACGGGATTTTGCTCAGCAAAGAAGCGGACGGCGTGTGGGCTTACAACCGAAGCGAGCACCCGATCTTCGTCAATTCCCCAACGCTGGACATTCCCAGCTGTAGGACCTTAATTGTGCACAAAGTGATGCCTGGGTATTCGATCAAGGCCTTTGACTACGAGAAATCCTGCCTCTTGACGCATGCCCCTGACTTGGACTACCCAGATGGACCCTACGACCCGAACAGCGTCCGGATCAGCTTTGCGAAAGGCTGGGGGCCCTGCTACTCCAGGCAATTTATCACCTCTTGTCCCTGCTGGCTAGAAATTTTGCTCAACACAAACAACAGGTAGCTGTTGCATGCTGAGGAGCGAAGCCCCGAGGACCCCAAATATCATCTACCTAGATTTAATATAAAGTTTTATATATATATATATATATATATATATATAATATGAAAATATATATATTATACTTGTAATTATGGAGTCATTTTTATAATGTCATTATTTATGTACGGTGCAATGTGTATATGGACAAAAAATGGAAAATGCACTTTGGCTAAAAGTCTTTCAGTAGTACAGTTGTTGTTTTTAAAAAAAAAGATGGAAAAAAATATACAGCAAATATTGGAGTATTACCAGGATTTTGGCTGTATAGTTGTTGTTTTTTTAATAGTAATATCCAGGCCAAAAACGAGTTGCTCATTGATAATAAACTATTTGCATTTATAGGTTCCCCTGTTGTCTGTTTTTTTTTTAATTACTTTTTGAAGAAAGAAAGAAAATGGGAAGGGGAATTATTTATGACTTCAAGACAATATATTTCTGGAGTTGGCATGAAATGAAATAAAAACCAGAACCAAACTGGGCCCGGTTTGTAGCTGACCCTATTCTTGGCAGATCCCTTCTCCCTTCCAAAGAAGGTCTCTTTCCCCATTTCTTTGCATTCTTTTTTTTTTTGGTAAATATTTTATTTTATTTTATTTAAACTACATACAATTCATCTTCCATTTAGCAGCGTGTCATCTGAATACAAATATCTTGTGCAATAATAATTAAAATTACATCCGTGTTCATTTCTTTGGTATTAATTCTCTATTCTTATCTTATTCATATACATAATATCTCTATTACTGTAACACCCCTCTTTTTGACATGTTTAGTTCTACAAACCTCTTTTCTATATTTTACTAATCTATTAGCTATGTGTAGCTTTTGTATTTTTCTCTAGCTTAAAATAAATCAAAATATGTAGTTCCCATACCTTAAAATATTCCGCTTGCTCCTTCTCTTTAATTGCAAGTGTTAATAATCTGTTCATATCTGCACATTCTAATATTTTTCTAATCACATTTTCCATCAGTAGGAATCTCTTCACTTTTCCAGTTTTGAGTAAATACAGTTCTAGCTGCAGTTAACACACGAATAGCCAAATATGCTTTCTCTTTACTATAAGTTTCGGGTAAGATCTTTGTGTTCTGATGGGGATGCTCTGCTCGGCTTCTGTCCCTCCCCGGAGATTCAGGAACACCCAGGTAGACAGGGAGAGGCCTCAAGCACGGAGTTAGCCTTGAATCCTTGTGTCGTAGCCAAAACAGATCCAGAACCGACCTTCTTTAAGCTCCTTAGAGCCTTACCTGCCTGTTTCCAGGTGAAGGCTGGCAGTCTGGGAAGAATCCTGAATAATAGGTCAAAATATAATAAAGGACCAGTAAGCTTAAACTCTACACCGGGGGTCCCCAAAATTGGCCACTTTTAAGACTTGTGGGTTTCAACACCCAGAATCCCAAACTTGGCAACTTTAAGACTTGTGGACTTCAACTCCCAAAATTCTGGGAGTCCACAAGTCTTAAAGTTGCCAAGTTTGGAGATCTCTGCTCTACACATCTGGATCTTGCTTGCGCCTGGCATAGATCCTGGATGAACATCTCGGCTGCAGCACCTTCTCCTCAAGTCCCTTCTGAGGAATCCAGCTGCATCAGGGTTTTACACCCCCCCCCCAAAAAAAAAACCTGCCTCTATCCTGGGGTTGCTCTGAAAAAAAATAATCAAATAAAATGAAACAAAAACACGGCCCCGCAGTTGTATTAAATGCCATTAAATTAAAACAGCCCCTGCATTACACAATCAACCTCAACTATTTCATAGCTCCCATTTGGACCAATTGCAAGCGTTCTTAAGAGCTATTCCTTTGCAAAGCCAAGACTTCTATTTTTTATTTTATTTTTTAACGATAATCAAATGCATCTCTTTGGCAATCTCTTTTTAACGTGTGTGTTCCTTATAAATGCATGGGATTGGTGATAACAGACGCATGGAGACACGGGTGCCTTCCACCCCACTGCTTGCCTAATGATCCCTCACGCAGGAGGAAGGTAAATTGAGACAGTGCTTGATTTTTCCACGTTCAATCAATATAGGCTGGCTGATCAACTAAAAGAATGTCTTTTTAGTCCTCCAATGATACGAGAGCAGAAGCAAATTCTTGCCTTTATGCAAAACCCAGCTGGCTTCTCTCAGGATTCAAGAACTGTGGTCTTTTCTTGTTCCTTGCACTATTTAAATAATAAAATTAAATCCAGGGTATGGTGGGAGGGAAATTAACAAGAGCCCCCAGTCTCTGCCAGAACATCATTGGAGTTTGTATTGGGATGTTAGCTCCGTTCTTCTTTCTTACAAAGCTGTTTTATGATTTTAGGCAGACGTCCAACTCCTCTCTGGCAAAAGAGGCTGAACCAATTTGAACATGTTGTCCTCCTGGAGGGCTCCCACGACTCCACAGAGGCCCATGTTTTGGATGGAGTGAGGGGGAGATGTGCTATGTACCAGAGGTTCCTCTACTGTGTGGGGCCAGGAGAGGACACTGTTAATCCAACTCACTTAATCCACTGTTAATCCACTGTTAATGCTGCTCAGTCAGGAACCTACCAGTACTTTTTAGAGCAGAGGTCTCCAATCTTGGCAACTTTAAGACTTGTGGACTTCAACTCCCAGATTTCCTCAGCCAGTTCCTCACACATTACTTGGGGATCGGGTGGTTTCTGCTGTCGGAATCCAGTCCTTGTTTCAGCAAATAGTCGTGTATTATGTTTCCTTTCTTTGTGTCATATGAACCCATCAAAAGAGTCCGTGTGTTCTGTGAGAGTGTCCTGAAGGTGTCCTCTATGCAAGGGTCTCCAATCTTGGCAACTTTAAGACTTGTGGACTTCAACTTTGCTGGCTGAGGAACTCTAGGAGTTGAAGTCCACAAGTCTTAAAGTTGCCAAGGTTGAAGACCCCTATTCTAGAGGACTATCAAGTCCCTTCAAAACTGAAGGGATCCATCCCTCTTCTGGGTAGACATTTCTTCTGATGCTTCTGCTCGGCCTCCATTCTTTTAAGTTCAGGGGACTGAACCTTGCTCTTGGTTTCAATAGGTCCAACCTTTCTTACAGGTGACAACTTATTTCAAATCTTGTAGGAATTGGGAGGTGATAGTTATTGCTAAATTTAGAGAAATGTCTAAATAAATGGAGTTCACGTGGAGTTCATTGGCACTGAGCCTAGTGATAGTCGCTAGTCTAGATGACTGGGGAATTGGACAAAAAATCATGGGGGAAAGTGGATTTAATCTTGAGTGTTGTTTCCTGAATCATGGCTTCCCCAAAAAAGCATCTGGAAGGTCACGAGGAGATCCGGAAGAATAGACAATGGCTTTTGGCTCTTCTTTCTAATTATTATTCTAGATCAGGGATCATCAGGCTTCACAACTTTTAAGACTTGTGGACTTCAACTCCCAGAATTCCCAGAATGTCTTAAAGTTACCAGGTCTGGAGACCTCTGCTCCAGATTCAAGATCTAGGCCAAGTCCTGCTACTTCTTGACAAGACAACATTCCTTAGAGAGAAAAGCAGTGAAGTCTCCCTCAAATTAAATTCACTTAACCAATGTCTTCACATCCTAATTGTCAATAATTTGGATTCCTAATGTCTTCTGGGGTGTGATTTTTCTTTTACTTCCCAGTTAGTTAACTTTATTGTCATTGCACCTCCTACAACGAAATCAAACACCATCTTCAGTGCACATCATGACCATGAAAATAAACACAAACACACACCCTTCACCCTCCACACATTGAACTGAAAACCCCGACACCGCACCAATACTGCATTATATAGTAGAATTCAAAAGAGCGACTGCCCTGGGATAGAAGCTGTTTTTCAGCCTATTTGTCCTTGTTTTTATTGTCCTGTACCGTCTGCCAGATGGTAATAGTTCAAAAAAAAAAGGGTGCCCAGGATGAGACAGATCTTTGAGGATGTTTTGAACTTTTTTAGGGCAGCAGGAGCTACAAAGCTCTTCCAAAGAGGGGAGAGGGCAACCCATGATCCTCTGGGCAATGATGTTCACCCTCTGGAGTGCTGTCTTATCTGCCACAGTGCAATTGGCAAACCATACACAGTTGTGCAGTAAGTTAAGATACTCTCTATGGTGCAGTGGTAGAAGGTCACCAGCAATTTTCCATTCAGTTGTTGTTTTCTGAGAAGCCTCAGGTAGTATAACTTATTATAACTATTATAGTATAACTAGATTATTAACCATCAAACTTCCTAGCGGTCTCTCATCCCAGCAATAACCAGCTATGTTCAGGTCAACCAAAGTAGGTTCAGGTATTACCTGCATACCTGTTGGATTTTATATATATATTTTATATATATTCCTGTTGCTTTTCTTGGGCTGAAATATATTTGCCCAGAATAAATTGATCCCCTTTTTGTCAAGAGGAGGTCAATCTATTTTCCAAGGCACAGGAAGGCAGGACAAGAAGCAATGGATGGAAACTAACCAAGGAGAGAGAGAAGCAACTTAGAAGGAAGGAGAAATTGCCTGACCAGGAGAACAATGAATCAGTAGGATGGCCTACTTCCAGAAGTTGTGGTTGCTCCATCACTGGAGGCTTTCAAAAAGAGACTACGGCTTGGGGGGGCTGTCTGGGGTGGGATGAGGGAGATACAGGGGGTATGGGCTGCAAGAACGGCTGGCTGGCACATGTATGTAGCCCTTGCACAAATGGTGCCCGCCGGGCCATCGCCCACACAAATTGTGTGCACACACACATGCTCCAACCACCCCTCATGTGGCCCAATTCCAAATAGGGTTTAGAGTCAGTGGTGGGATTACATTTTTTTTACTACTGGTTCTGTGGGCGTGGCTTGGTGGGCATGGCAGGGAAAGACTACTGCAAAATCCCCATTCCCTCCCCACCCCCCTAACCTGCTTTCCAGCTCCGTTCTCCTGTGCAGGGCAACAAAAGTAGACCCAGCCAATCAGCTTGGACTCAATGGGAGGCGGAGAAGAGATGGGGTTGGCGGGGCCAGTCAGAGGTGGGATTGGCCAGTTCTCCCAGCTACTCAAAATTTCTGCTATCGGTTCTCCAGAACTTTAACCTTAGAACTTTAACCAGAACTTTAACCTTAGACTGTCTACTATTGACCTCACCCCTTTCCTAAGAGGTCTGTAGGGGGCGTGCATAAGCGCACCAACGTGCCTACCGTCCCTGTCCTATTGTTTCTTTTTCTTTTTATTATTTTTATTTTTCTTATATGTATCCATTTCATGAATCCATAACTATGTTTATACTTACACCTGTTATCTTATAATTGCTTGACAAAATAAATAAATAAAAATAAAATAAAACTGATCAGAACCTGCCGAATAC